AATGTTCTATATCTACATAATCCAAGCACCCGCCAAAGTCCATTAGAATACTAGCTGTGTTGTTAGCATGAGATCTCATTGACAAAAGTAACCTTTCGCACAAGGCGCACCACGCCAAGCAGACCTCTTTGCTGTGGTTGGTCCCATATACCTCACTTTTAGTAGATAGTGGTGTTGTTTTTTTGTTCCTGCGTAGACTTTCGCAGTCTCTTTTAGACGAAATATTTTTTTTTTTGAGTCCGCTGCTATTATGAAGAACATAGAGGGTGAGATCGTCCTTTGCTAAAAGACGCGCACTGAGAATTACGTGCATTGGCAAAGAACACGTGATAGCCCAGTCAGGAAATCGGTGCTGGACTGTAGAGTCGAAGTCCGATGTTCTCTAAGGCAGAGCTTACATTTAAAAATAAAAAACAATTCATTTTTTTCTTTCATTCAGTTTAATAAGCTGCTTATATTGATCTAACTCCAAATATGATAAAATTATTAAACTCTAATTAACGATTCTCGCGCGCATAAACTCTGAAGCGAAATTATATATACTTTCCAAAGGAAACTCTCCCTTCCATTGTAAAATACTTACGTGTCGCAGTATATGCAAACGTAAGATTTTAACACAATACTATCAAACAATATTAAATTATTAGATTGCTTTGTATGATACAATATAATACAAAATAATATTTACATAACATAAATAATTGGCGGCATAAAGGACACGCGCGCACATGAAAACCAAGTTAATATCGATCAACATGACTGTGCGCTATTTTTGAAATAATAACTTGTAACCACTAGCAAAGCTACTATTGGTTAAAACACAAATTAGAGTCGTTACAGTTAACCCGTAAAATACAGTACTGATCAATTAGCAGTACATAGTATACCGTCTGTTTTCTTTTCTTTCAACTTGACTTTTCATGGTTGGATATATCGAGGTTTTTTACGTGCTAAATGTAACAACTACTACGATTGTCTATGGAATGAAAACAAGTTAAACAAAAGTTGAAAAACTTTGTCCTCCTATAGGAGTTTTAATTAATTGAAATGAAAGAYACTCCTTTTATAAGGGTATAATGATATTCCCACTTCAAAACTCAAAACTAMTGTTCTAGGCGTTTCCGTAACTAACCACGCGCACTTCCATCCCTTAGAGAGAGCTTTCTCACAACTTTCTTTCATCACAAAAGCAGCTGCGGAGAGTTAATCTAGATTTGGTGAGAAAAAAGGAGAGAAGAGCAGTAGTTTTGATTCTTGATGTGAAAAACATCACTYCTCCCCTCCCTGACATTACAGGGGGTGGAGAAGTAATAATCTATATGACGGTCACACRGTGCGTTTACATGGCTGCTTTCGTCCCAGGCATGCAGAGTTCATCGATGTGAGGAGTTTCRAAAAGGTTTCAGACAGGGAAAGTATGATCAAACCGGAAAAAGAATGAATTGAAGATTGCACGAAAGTCATTTAAGATCTGCTATCAAGTCACTTGCGCACTTGCACCAAGATGCACAATTACTGCATATTGGCCTGCTGTCAGGGATAATAGCATCCATGTAAATACTCTAGTTTATTATATATAATATCTTTGATAAAGTTTAATATTCCTATACTGTGGTAACGTGAATCGGACCACTTTGGCAYCCACCAATATTTCTTTGCACTAGTAGTTCTTGTACGGTMACAAAGTCATCAAAACTACGTTCGTTATTCCTAAGCATTCTTCGTTTGCTAAGTTCCACTATGAKATCYCGKCGACCTGTACCGCTCTCTGAACCACTGCCCGCAGTGTGGGGGCTATCAGAGCCCTTTTGCTTTTGATGTCTTTGAATACGAGCTTSTCGRACTTTTTCAAGCTGCCGTCTYCTCATGTCTCTAGGGCAGTACCGCCCCTGATAGACTGACTGAGTCTCATCCTCCGTTGTTAAACCCCGGCGCTCTTCCGTAATTTTCTGCGCCCGGTCGCGTAGTAACTTATTYCGTGCCTGTCTAGCTGTTGTGCTAGTTTGTTTCCGAACAAAGATATGTTTACCATCTTTAGTCATTCTAACCTTCCATTCATTCTGCTGCGTGCCAGSCTCATTGCTGGAATCTTCCTTGGAGGATTTCCTCCGTCTTTGATCACTTCTTGTGTTCACTGGATCATCGATTCCAAACAAATCTATTTGTTGCATGGAGCTATTGCACGCTCGCATGTACGATGCACGAATACTTCTATCCACACAWCCAAGACGACGCGATCGACGATGRTCGGAATGCTTTCCTTTATCACGATCGCGATCRCGGGTTTTATCACGTTCTTTTTCACGATCTCGTTCGTTGTTCCCTCCTCGATCTTTAGAAARTTCGTCTTTTCTTTTACGATCTGATCGGTGTTTTTCTTTATGCGTCGGAGACCCGTTTGATCGTTTTTTATCATTTCTATCAGGAGAGCGTTTATTCGACTCTTTTTCTGTAATATACTTGTCAGTTCTCTCAGGTGAACGCTTATTTGATTCTCTATCAACGTTTTTACTACTACTACTATCTTTACTACTAGATACACTGTCCAAATTCCTAGAACGAGATGACTTGCTCTCCTTCTTGGGTGTATGGGGCGGGGTTTCTCCAGGGGAGTCAAGACCCCCTTTACGATTACTTCTGTCTTTTGAACGCTTTAATTTTTCTAGAGTATCATGTTCCGAACTTTCGTCATTCTTTGTACTTTCATCAGTTCTTCCGAATCCACTGTCTTTTTCACACTTGTCCCCAGTAGTTTTTTCACTATTGACAGTTTCTGCGCCGTCCTCATCCTCCTCTTTAATCGCTGCAATTCTAAATCCACTATAACTSTCTGTACATTCCCAATTTCCGTTACCTTCTGCACCAATGAACGTTGCCTGGACCTAATTAAACAAACAATATTAAGTTAATACGCGGTTTAAAAACATTGGAATTGTTTAAATAGTAAGTCTTAACATAGTAGACAAGGGTGTGTGGTACGATAACCGCAATGCACTATTGTWTTCTATTTTTATCGCTGTGCTCCTTGGAGAGCGCTCTTTCTCTTAAAAAACCGCATAAGGTCAAATATGTTGTAGATACGGTTTTGACGCACTCAGAGAATCTAAAACCGAACTCCAATCATTCCAAAAATTATCCGTGAAGTTGAATCCTATGTGAGATAAACAAAAACTTCTAATTTAAGAGTGAATTTTCGGGCCTTTGTGATCGGCACACTTCAGCATGAACCCGCGATACCTAAATTYGRTCAAACAACTGCTAAAATTAAATCCCCTAGGCTGATATAGCTCGTTTGAACCTCGCTATCCTTTTGAGTATGATTGTATCAGCAGAGTTTAATTAAAAGTGTTAACATCATTGAGTTCTTTAAGAACTATCTTTAAGATAGGTWTTACTGATAAGAGTAGAAACTGTGACCTGGACTTCTTTGATTTTACTGAAACATTGCAGTCATTATTGCCTATACGACCAATATATTACAAAATCCCTTTGATAAAAAAACAGACGTAGTATTATGCATCCTTAAACAGTAGTATATTGTACAGACTGCGCCTGGGAARCACACATCACCGAGTATCAGCTTATATAACCGCAACAAAAAAACTMAGTCWGTACTACGCATTAAACGACGGCTCGTGTCTGAAGTTCACCCAAAACGTGTTTAGCATTCCCAGGTCGAGGTCACGTTTATTTAATTAAACGCAGGTTTGAATTACGAATTCATCTCAATGAGATCTTTATGCGAACGTGATTCTATTTATCAGAGTCCAAATATAGCAGTTCCTTTGCCGTGAAAATCGTCGGCAGGTCACCCGGAGGAGACGACGAAGAAGAGACGARCTAATCCAAGTGACGTCACTACTTGGGGTAATGCCAAAATTCTCAAATAAAGCTTCTTTATAGTGGATTTTTGCAGCTTTTYAGCTATAAATCAAAAGTTTCTCCTTGCCTGATTGATTGTAATGTAACAATTAGTACACTACGACTGAGCCTATTATCAGACAGGGTTTAGTGGTAATCCCTTCGTTATGAGCGGCAGGCGACTGGACAGATATATGAAACTTTCTTCTAAGCAGGAACCGCGAAGTCTTTGTAAATAGAAAACTTTAATCCTTTATATGGAAACAATGGAGTTTCATTCACGAAATCAAAAGATACCGTGTTAAAAATGATACACTGAAGAAAAAAAGACGGGAAAGTAGAGAAGGAAAAGGCAATAAGGTCGAGGAAACAAAAACGCGCGAAATCAAAACAAAGAAAGTCGCSATAGAAAGGAAGGGATAACATTGCGCGGTGAATGAAATTAAAGAGTCGGCACAAATTAAGGAATTAAACTGAAAATAGATTCAAAAAGCTGAAACGCGTGCTACCCTACAGAAATATGTCAAAAAATCAACAATCTTTAAGAGCCTTCTTAGGGCCTTCTTAGAGTCTCTTATAATGGTCAATCAATTACTAAGGAGAGAACAAACATTGCGTGAAAAAGTGCACATGCTAAAATAAACAGAAGAGCACGAATCTTTGGATTTTCAACTTTCAAAGCACTTGATTTAGTAAAGCGTGTTTGGATGGTTACCAAGGAAAACAATCCCAAGAGGCTTAAGTGCAGCTAATGACGTCAAAAGAATTTTTCGTCAATCAGTTCGCGGGCGCGTAAGTGAAAGTGCAACATCCTGATGGCTTAGAATCAATCAAAAGTTTGWATGAGTTTGGTGAGGGCGATTTGGCAATAAAAAAATTCAAAAACTTATGGTATGTGAAAGCATTCAAAATTACTGTCATACCAGCTTGTCAAATTGAAAWTAATGACCAAGACCTTGTCGCCGAAAGAACCCGCGAATAGTTTAAAATAACCCTCGTTACTGATTCTTCATTTGCATACATTTACGCGATTTTATAAGCTTCTTAAAGCTTGTTATAAATTCGTCGAGAGGACATTCCGAAGCTTCCCTTTTCAAACTGTTTCAAATCTTCTTACCTCCTGAGCTGGCCTCGCAACCAAAAATTTGATTGTTTCCGAAGATTCACAAACAAGTGGCTCGATATCATTGATATGTGTAACCGGTTGATCATCAATCTGTATTAATTGAAAAACGATTGTCAGGACAAACTTGCAACAAAAAAATTAAAATAATAATAAAAGAAAAGAGTCAAAGAAAAATTACCTTTAAAACCTGATCCCAAAGCATAAGTCTACCATCGAGGTAGGCGACTGAATCTTGCTCAATCTAGAAGGAAAAAGTGATAGTTAAAAAAGGCGCCAAAATATCATCGGACGCGCGCGCGCGTCTGTAGTTTTGGCGGGAAAATTGGTAAGTTTGAAAACTTTATTGAGGATTTGAGGAAGGGCATCGAAAACTGAATTCACCAAACTTAACTCTCAAAACTACCATTTCTTTTACTCTGTCACTCATCAACTGGCAGAAGCTTTGCGATTCGTGGATAATTACAAATAATGATAGCAAAAAAGACGACTTTTTAATTGAAAACAAAGTATTTTTCGGCAAAATAACTGAGCTTACCACACATATGTAAACAGCCGATTCGTCTTCTTCACCACAACAAAATGTAAGTCCCAAATCCACGTCTCCTGAACCAAGCCAAAGAGTTACCTCCTAAAAAAGGTAAGAATGCAAAGCAAATTCATCAGTAAAAAAGCTTTAAAGTATTTTTAGTAATTGAAAGAGTCGCACTAAAGTGACTTTGTGAAGCCCCTTTGCACTAAGTATAAAGGAAAGGATATTTGAAAATAAGGAGTSAGAAGAGTGACATTGACCCAAAAGAGCAATGCAAGTAATCAAGAAAAAATCTATTAGATCTCTGGAAAAACTGAAACCCTGCCGACAAAAAAAAAAAAAAATCCAACACAAAAATGTTTCTAGCGGCTTCCTAACTACAGGTTTTTCCAACGGTCCGTCCCTAAAAGTACACCGATTCTTTCAACTTAAAATTATATACACTCGTCTAACTTAAATAATCACATTTCAGGGCCTTAGGGTTAAAATCAGGTCAAAATATTTTCATATGGTTTATTCCAATGGTACTGAACTAATTTAAACCAAGAAAAATTATAGCCTAAACTTAAAATAGCTTGACATCAAATTGGTATAAATTTAGCTAGTTAAATTAATTGGGATATCCATTGACGCAACACACCACACACGTTGCCACGTTTGTAATTACCATTGCTTACAAGTTGTACTTATTATAGAGATTAATCTGAAGTACTTGACAAAACATTGGGATTTAGGCACAGGGCGGGGCTTCCTTATCATAATATAAGAACTTAATTACAGCCAATTAAAACTATACCTTGATTTTAATATAAATCCTATTTAAATTTCCACGGTTGAAAGCAAGTGTCAGATCTATTTCGAACCMCGTATACAATTGCAGACTTCAAATAACCCACAAACTAAGTTTGCCGTGGGAAAGAGTTATTTTAGACTAACCTCGTATTCATAATCCAATTCTTCATCAAAGAAAACTTGATCTGTTATTGCTATTGAATTAAATATGTAATTTGGATTGTCATCTGTCATGTTGGCATCCTGAACAAGAAATGAGACCTGATGGACCGAATCATCTTGATTCTTGATTGAGTTGCTAGTTATATCACTTGAAAAAGGGAATGCACCTCCCCTGAAGTTCGGTAGCTCTAGGTCATCGCGGCTTGAGTCCATTCTTTTATGCGARCACTCGGAACTGCTTGTTCCATCGTCAAGGGATTTTGATCTTTGTAACTGTAAAAGATCTTGTCGAGGACTATATCGATCGTGTATGCCGCTATCTGTGTCCACGTCGTGCGACAGGCTTTCAGTTTGCGTTCCGCTTGAAACCACGGTGTTCAAATATTCAATAGCCCTGTCAACTTTTCTTTGTATGACTATATTTATTGGCTCTGTGGCCTCCTTGAAAGCTTGCACAGCTTGGGAGTGTGTCGCTTCAGAGAGATCGATATCATTAACCTACGAATAAAAAGTATCCGTCATTAATATTATATACATATAACGTTCGGCTACCAATTTAGAACAGCTATATATGAAAGGCTCATAGGGACYGAGTTTAACCAACCATTACATATTAATTCAAAATGATATTCTCTAATTACATCTCCTAATTAACGTCCAATCATGGTTCTTGAGTTTACCCCACTTCAAGGTTTCGCCTTAGGGAGCGACATAGGGGATCATGTAGGATTAATAAGCACCAAAATGTGTTGGTGATGTGTGCTGCATGAACTGATAACAAGATCACTGCACAGCTAGAGCCATTCATTATTAGATAATATCTTTATTGTGTTGTTTTATTGGATAGTCAATCCAATAATCCGTAGAAAAATAACATTACAAAATCATGGTACGAAATCCATCGTAAACATAGTTATAAAGCCGTTTAAAAATAGTTAATAGATTTAGAACTCTATTGTKTTCTTTATTAGCAAAGTATTTGTGTACAATATATATAAATGGATTAGATTAAAGAATGAAGTCCTTATTAAAGGATCAAAACAGAGTTTTTCATAGTTTTAGGAATAAAAAGTTACGATTTAGATACTGGATATTATAGATGACCTTATGCAAAGGAATTCGTGCTCGACTTTGCTCTAGTTGTCACTGAGCGATGTGACGAAAGGTAGGTCTATGGCAGTTAGACTACCGACACATTACAAAAATAGAACCAATCCGATAAATTACACACGGGGGAGCAAACCTTTAGCATTTTTTTTGACAAGTTACAATACCATGGGCAAGATTTCTTGGCAAGAGACATGTACTCGTACGAAGACAAAATGTTTTCTTGTCAAGAAAAAGCTTGCGTGCTATCACAAGGGACTAGAGTGTTCTCCAAAAAGATATGTTTAGAAATGAGATAAATTACTAGAGATTTCTTTGTAAATAAAACATCACTCATCAACCTCATCAACTGTGATCATTTTGAATGGATTTTCTAACAGAAAGCACCTGGCTTAACGATCCGGTAGAGATGATACCGATTCACCCCTATAGCGTGCTTGATAACTAAAACGCACGGACTAGCAGGCAGATAACTCCATAAAACTTACTAAGTATTAGAGCCAGTGAGTCTAAAAGCACTTTAGGTCATAATCAAAGACTACGTGCTCTCGTAAAATCTTACATCGTGGTGAATATTAAAAATGCAATATAACGTTTTGCACAGAAAAGATAACGGAAATACTTGTGATGCGGCAAGACTTAAGACTCGCTAAAATCCTTTTATAGAATACGAGTAATACAAATTCATTTCTTGTATTTGAATATTTCATTTACTTTTTTTCTCTCAATGTAACGTTTGCAGGTATGTGTTAATTAAATTTCTTGAAMCTCATCTTTTTCAGTATTATTAAAAAGTGACAATTGTGTGTGAAAGTGTACATTATATCCTATAGAGAGTCGCATTTGAAAACGGTTTTATYTATTTATTTTTTTCCTTTGTAAGGCTTTAAATTACGTTAGACTTTGCGCTTTAAAACTTTATTCACTTTTTATAACACGTATCACARTAATATCTTTCCCATATACTGGTATATGGTTTTACATTCTATACAACTCCCCTCACTGCACTATTTCAAAAAATAAGCGGTTAGGAAAGATTCAAACACAAAGGTAAAATGTGAATTCGGACAAAATATTGAAAAGAGAAAGAAAGAAAGAATGGAGCATCTTACTAATTGCATTCGTAACGTAAAACTAATCATCCAAAGATAAACACACGAGAGAGAGAAAGAGCCTATGATTATCTCATGATTATGGAATCATAAATCACATCTTAAAACAAAATAAAGAACTTAATGGCGTTTACTTTTAAAATTAGCCAATCGTAATGCAGTATTTATTAATAAACATTTTTCATATCATAGTCTTTACAGTAAATATATCAGGGTCTGCTCAATAATAGCTTTTAAATCACTTACTTTAAGGAATTATAGCCTTCTAAAATGTTATTAACGCATACATTGCACTACATAGCTAATAAAGTGAAAGGAAATGAAGAAAGTCGCTCTTATCATAAAAGGGAACATTTGTTTACCGTAAAAGATGAAATAAATGTCCTCTTGAAGACTTTTATCAAAATTAAGTTTCTTATGTAAAAGCACTAATTTACTGACTTGAGTATGATTCGCCTTCGATGTATACGAATTACTCTCAAATGTCTGTAAGTTCAAGACATCGTTCTGTCTTAGAATTTCAATTAAAACAAAATTCATGGCTTGGGTCAACATTTTCTCATTCCTCATTATACTAGAGTAAAGAATGGAGCTCCCCTGCAATASTAAATCTGTCAACTTATACAAGATCTTTAGCTTTCTTCCACATATGAAAAATTTGATTTGGAAAAATGTCAATTACATTGTTTGGGTATAGTATTTGGGGTACTTTTAGAAGAAGACATGAATGAAACAGTGCTGATTGTAGCCACACCCTCGAGCTATTTCAAGAAAGATTGCAAAAATAGTAGCTTGAACATGAAGATAAAAACAAGATACCTTTTCCTTATTAATTAGACAAAAAAGGACAAGATATAATCTTTTCTATAAACAAAACCAGAAAATCAGAAAATTCAAAACTGAATTTCAAAAAAAAATCTTTTTTTTTCAATTCCTACTATTTCATTTTTGAATAAACAATAATTATAAATAATCAGGTCTAAAAAATGAAATAACCAAAATATATATTTTTGATATTTTCTGTCTTTACACAGTTGAGAAATATTTCCTCTAATATATCAAAAGAAAGAAATGAAATATGAAATGGTCGACTCAAAAAAAATGTAATCAATCATTTAAGATGAAAAATATCCCAGACGTGTAATAAATATGTTGTTAAAATCTAGTCTAGAATTATTTTAATAAAAACATTTCTACCTAATATGATTGGTATGAATGAACACAATTATTTATGATTTCTTTAAGCACCTGCCTTTGAAACCATAAAAAAAATATAATGAAATGGGAAAATGCCATTTAAATCAAGGTGTTATCTGAGAATTCGCTTTGATGGGAGCTTTATTGTTAAAAACATTCAGAAAATCAAACAATACTTTATTTTAGTTTACTTTATGGGAGTTGTCTGGTGTCTAATGAAGTGTATATATTGACACTTTTATTTCACACTTTTTTTCTCATTTTTCTTGATTAAGACCTTTWATCTAAATACATTTTAGTTGAATGAGTTATCAAAATATAGCCATCTCTTAGATGCACTCAATATCACTGTTTCTAAAATACCACTCCATTTGCACTAACAAACTGTCCATTAAGACCTCAGGCTATGAATGATGGGCACATCATCAAGGGAACAAAACTACACTCTGACTATATAATTGCTTAAATTGGATGAAATTTCAAATACAACATCACTCAATAATAATGAATTGCTTGAGGTATATCTTTCAATTTTTTAACATCTTTTGATGAAATTAAATTTCTAAAGATTATAAGAAATTTACAGGAAAATTTGTTGCAATTATAAATAATCAAAGTCTACACATAACATGTACAGTAGGAATATAAGACATGTTTTGAATAAAGTTTCTTTTAACACAAAGTAGAAAAAAAGATAAGATTTCCACTAGTAAAGTTGAAAAGTAAAATTTTGCTTTTTGGAATAAAAAAAATTCATTTACATAAAGATATATTTCAAAATATCACTATGAACTAAGCCTTGATTAGCCTAAAAGATCAGATGTAATACTACACATGCCTTTATGTAAAATTAATCAGTTTGTCTTTTTTTCACATTCTTGGGAAATCACAGGTAACATAGATGCCTTAATATACTGATAGAGAAAGGTGTATTTAAAACATATGGCTGGACCTGTTTATTAACAATTATATGACAAATAGTGTAGTTGTTACCTTATGGCAACTTGCTCATAAAACACCTAAAAGCTCCAGAGAGAATATTGTGTATTATCAAAGACAACGTACTTTCTTACACAATCAAAATAGACATAATAACAAACCCATCTGTAAAATTTCCAGCTAATGGGTTTAAATTCATCTAACTGGCTGAGAACAGTTGAATATATTAGTAATCATTTAAGAGCCACATATATCAGAAAAAACATCAATAATTTAGCGCACACTTTAGGAAAACATCAATCTCTATACTCCTTATGCTAACACAATCATATATAATGTTAGTTCTGCCTTTTCATCAAGTCAAAACAGTCACTAAAGCATCAGAAATCAAGGCATTAAAACTGAAACACATCATGCAAACTACAAATTAAAAACACATGGAAAATGGAAAAAATGCCACCTTAGTTTTTCATTCAAGTTCAATTACAGATAAACCTCTAGAAATATACAAAGCAGCTGAGGAAGGATTTTTGTGGTATAATACCAGGCATATCCTAGAGTTTTATCCTTCTAGAGCTAAGGAAACATAAACAATTGTGGTATCCATTGATGACAGAACTAAGAAAGAGGATATCTCCAACCTACTTGATTTTTTCAAAAGCTGTTCAAAGAACCCTTATTTTAGATGACTTGAATGGACTTTCGGTATTCTTTGGGTCATGAGAGAAGTACTTGCCGAAGTGAAAAGAACTCTCTAGTTTAAGGAAGCTTTTATATGTTATAATTCTAGACCAGATTTGAAAGGACAGTAAATAATTTAACAGCCAAACCACATTATCAAAGAGCAATGGAGATATCTGAAATTCCATGCATAAGATTCTTGTAAAGAATTTTTAAATATCACAAATAACATATGTGTCAATGAGTTCTAAAGGTGTTTGGCAGGTTTTTCATTTTACTACGATCTATTCACTTTGACAGCTTAGCAGAAAATATTAGCATAAGCTATTTTATGAAATGTCAAAAAGATCAGATTTAAAACACCCCTCCCCTAATAGATTAAAGTTGACGTTTGTGGTGCAAAGAATAGTTAATTAGTCGCAGGGTAGGATTCTATCAAATTGGGAAAAAACAAAGAGAAATATTTAAAAAAGAAAGCAATTTAAAAATCATTTGCAAATGGGAAAGACATTTCAAAAAATAAAAAATAAAAACGAAGAAAATTGTCATAAAGAACGCTTTTGAAATCCACAAGACGCCCTCGGTGACGTCCGTTCCATTTTCTCGGGATGTTCATTTCCGACCCCTTGGGACCAATTTAACTTCGTTTTAACAAACATTCCTATGTTTTGTAAAGTTCATTGAAAGCATGAATCAAGTCCCAGCGTGGTTTTAGACCCCTTCCTTTATATCCACGTAAACATACCCACGTTTCTGACGATAACGTTGTGGCAAATTCAATAAAAAATACAATCGTTAATTAACTTAATTTTGGTGAATCAGAAAGAGAACAGCAAGGAGTTTATACATATGGACTCTAATTTCCGATAAAGATGGAAAAAAAACAAGTTTCTTCATTCTGGAATCCGCAATTTTCATGAAAACAGCACGAAGGCGATTCACTCAGTTCAGACTCTCATTTCCGATAAAGAGAAAATACAAGACAGGTCTCTGTTTTCTAAGAATCTTTTGTTGTCTTTCCTCAAGTCAGGTGCATTCAAAATACATAGAAATGTCGTTACGCAGTCTCTAAGTCCTTCAAAAACGTGACCTTTCTGTCAAAAACGACAACAGTGCTATATCGATCGAAATCAACAATTTTTTGGAAATTTCTTTCGAACGACAACATCGGTAAATCAAAGAAATGTAAAGGAACGAGAAGGCTAATTGAATGAGTGTGTTTGCTGTTTCGGATTAAAATGATCGTCTAAGGTAATGACTTTTTGAACCAAAAAAGAAAACAAATGATTTATTGTAAACAAAAAATTACTTCTACATTTACCGCTCTTTCCGGCCCTAATAAGCTAAAAACATGAGACCCAAAAGAAAATATTCCGTTTTCCGCTGACGAACTAAAATGACATGAGATTTTTCCCAATGCGCAAATGATTTTTCAAGAAGAAAACGTAAATTTTTTCACTTTAAAATGAATTGTTTACATACGATAATTGTATAACTTGCAACCACTGCCCTCACAGAACGGAAGCATATGGCTTTTTGGTTACTTCATTAATCCGTAGTTTGACATTCGGAAACCTTCAAATAATCTCGGATGAATCAGCATCAATTCTTAGTAAATAAATACAATAATTCTACTCCTGTGGGTTATTAGGGCTTGGAAGACAAAGGAGGGCAGTACTTGTCTACCACAATGGTACAAAGAACATGAAAAACACACAGAAAGCCATTTGGCGAAATCCTATACACCACCATAACGTAACACCGAGGCATTTGGCATGACCCGATGACATGCGACGGGTATCAAGCGAAATCATAGATATATTTACTCGGGTCGATACCTACCTTCATTATTCTGTCATGTACCCTCAGCCCTCCTGCCTTTGCTGCAGGGCCCCCTTCAGCAATTTTCGAAACCACAATACCACTGCCCCCGACCGACTTGCTTCCGACCTGGTATGAATGTAAATAGATACGAAAGTCAGTTTTACAAACAAAGAGCTATACAACAACTGTCCTGTCTTCTGATCTATAATCTCTTATCGTGGTAACAGCGTGAAGGAAGCTTTTAGTCGTACGCCAGACGATATCAACCTTTTACATTCCAGTGAACCACAGTATCAAAACGGGCACAAATAAAAGAATGCTCCTCTGATTCTCTACGGACGTGAACGCGGTACGGCCGCACCAAAATCCGGATTTGCGCTTCAAAGGGTTTTTAACACATTCAGTGCTAACTGAATTAACTGAGTGTTTTGATAGTTCTTTTAATAGTTCGTGTTAAACGTTTAAGGCTTATAACACTTTTGCACTACATGCCCGGGCAAGATACATATTTTTACGGTATTTTTTAATTCCCGTGAAATTCTGCGCCATGTTGTAATTCTTTATTTATTTATATTTTAATCAAGAAGCTGAGATTATATGATGAGAAGGGGTTTAGCTGATCGACACGAAAGGAATTCTCAGTCCATATATAACCAATATCACTTTGCTTTAAAATTACAATCCTATTGTGACTATAGTAAAAGAATTATACCTCATTTGATCCCATAATATTGAACCCAAGCGAGCCATCGATACGTTCTAATAATACCTCAACTTGCATTGATTCTACAGGCTGGAATCATATAAAAATACAAAATAAACAAGTATTATTTGTAATCAAAAGCACATATAGATTGAACATATTCGCTAGTATCTATTTACCTATAACTTAATAGAGTGTCGTGTAGGCTGGCATTAAAATAACAACCAATGTCACTGATTTATTAGGACTGGGATAAACTTAGAAGAGTCCTTCATACGCGAGCGCATACCATTGTTAGACAATGGATATTTTTTTGCTCGAGAGCGTCGACCCTAAACGCTTCGTTCGATTATTTACATCGGGAACACAAACGAAGTCTTGGTGTTATCAGAGAATGTTAACGTTGTTAATATCTGTAAGGATTCATTGCCGCTGCAGAAACAGCAGGGCACCTCAAGCGAGTCGCATCGTAAATTACAAAGCTGTATGGCTGACTGACTCAACATATGATTCATAACATTGGCGTGAAATGTACTCGTTACGTTGCCAATTCGGCTAATATTATATAAAACGCCTTACCTGCTCACCACGAATTTCTAAATGTTTTTGATAAAACCCAACTTGTGAACGATACTCCCTTAATTGTCTTTCAAAATTCAACGCTTGAATTTGGTAGCTATKGAGTTCGTTTTCCAGATTTAGAATACGCTCTTGTAGAGTCTCTTCCTTTTCAACTAGTCGCTCAGAAATTTGCTCCTTTTCATGTTCTAGTTTAGTAATTTTGACTTGAAGTGAAGCGATATTAGTTTGTAAAGCTTGAGTACAATCGTGTCCAGAAGAATCTTGAAACAAAAGAGGCAGTCCACAGCCTCTGTCGCAAACGACGACCTGCACTGATTGATCACAAGAATCAGAATTTTCCATAATTTTATCTCCGGAAGTCAAACCCTTTACGTATTGGCATTTATGTTGATGCGCTTGAAGACTTTCTATCCTCAAAATAGCTTGGCAACCACGTTGATAATATGCGCATCGAATATTTAGTTTTGAGACAAGATGCGTAAGTGGTCCTATCTTCTTTAAATCATCTATAGCCAGTTGTTCGCAACTTTGAGGACACGTCCCGTTTTCAGCAATCCATTGGACTAGACATTGAGCACAGTATACATGGCCACAGGTAGTCACTAGTGGATCCTCTAAAACACCAAAACAAATTCCACATGTTAAATCATCGTCAATTTGCTCCAGAAAACGCTCAATGTCAAAACCCATACTAGTCGACGCACGAGCGTAAAAAAGAAACAACTGAACTGCTTGATAACTGATACGTCTAGGTCTTTTGAACTTAGCGACATCATTAGGTGGGCGGAGTTTTGAAATAAGATCATGTCTTTGACAATACCTGTCAGAGTCAACTTATCGCTGATTGGCTGAAAGGTCATTTAACATGACTCCTTCCGGTGAATTTACCGCATCCTGAATATGGCGCGAAACCAAAATACAAAATGCCACGACAACGTAAGCGACGACGTTTTTTACACTAACTGCGTCCTTAGAAGCATGGTACCGTGTATAATGATTCGTTATAAAAGCCACAACTCAATCCACTTTCATTGACGCTCGATATAAACAATTTGAACAAACATTGCCCCTTTAATTGCAGAGAAGGAATGAATTTTTTATTGCAATTGACATGTTTGTGGCCGTCTATGTAAGTGATTGAGTGTGGCTTTCACGGTGTTCTGTTGAATACCCAATCCAAAGTGTCAAAAGTACATTGCGGCATGCGGACAAACAGAAAGAAATTCATTCCCAGCTGTTGTATAAACGATATTGTCGCTTTATGTGCTCATTGTATGCTTTTAAATTCTATAAAACTCCTGTCCTTCAAATTTATGAGACAATGCGCCCCATGTTCTGAAATTAGGGTTGTGTTTTGACAGCTAGATAATTGGAAAAACTGCCAGCGACGATGAAAGATGGTGATTATTGTCCACGTTCCGCACTTTGCAGAAGGCTTTCCCATTGATCCTATTTGCGAGCATTACAGCTCATTTACTCTTCTTAGACATTAAACGGTACACCCTCGGATAGAGATTAAAAGAGACAACAAGAAAACATGGCATATCAGCAGAACAAAGACTTTATTTGATGCGAAACATTTGTGAAAGGATTAATTTATTCTCTGTTTGGTTAATTTTGCCTAATAATCACCTTCTCGTCTACTTCTAAATGCACAAAGCATGCCGACAAAATTAGTATTCGTACCGCCTTTAGATTGCTGTCAGTCACAACGGCGCGCAAAGCACTACTACACGACATACGTTTTCTTCAAAACGTAAACTTCCCGCTGTGAAAGAGTATTCAGTATTCCCGCCTCAGTGCCGTTTTTTCATGTAAAGCGGTCAGAACTTGATAATGATATTGTTGAGGGTTCTTTTTTACGTTATTTGTATATTTTTCTTGCGGCTTTCTAAAGAATCTCTTTGATGTTGCTTCAAGAACAATAATTTCTTAAAGACTGAACAAAAGCGGACGATTACTTAATCCATAACATTTGTTCTGCGTGCTCACCACCATTTAATGGCATCAATTAACTCTATCGATGTAGATTCTAAACTGCTGATAATATTTCAGTTAAATTGAAGAACTTGAAACATCGTAGAAAAACACACATTCAGTAAATTGACCGTCACCTCMCACGGGCATGWAATTTTTTTAACGGTCAGGGCTTAAAATATGCGATAAAATAATCTAATCTAAAAGCTTATATRTGTGCACTATGTGTTTAGTATTCGTTTCAGTTGATTATTATTTAGACGTAGGTTCGTTTTCATCCGGCTTTGGTACGGATTTTCGATAAGTAAACACAATAAAAGGCTACAGTTCGCAAACAAATGCGATTACTATTTGCCGAGTACAATTTTCTTGTTACAATGTTGACCGTAAAAGTTTACACGTGTTTTTTAAAATAAACCTTGTGCTTCTCTCACGATTTGTTAGCGGAATATTTCTATGAAAGAAAAGGTCTGTGATCCTACMCAAGCCAACAAAACAACCACCAATTTCTTATTTATTTGCTTATATCGATGGTTTTAATCAGTCAAAGTGAAACTGGGATTTTGCGGTTTGTAAGGGACTTGTCTATTAGCGTCTGCCCATGAAGCCCACCATAAACTTCAAAATTATTAGTTCAAAACCAATATAGAACTCAATAAGTTTCAAGTAAATTAGCTACATATCGTCTTAATGACTATTTCACTGCTTTGCGCAGAGAAAAAACGGGGTTAATATTGACAAAACTGTACTAAAATACATACAAATGTACTGGAATTTTTCTACTGCATAAAATATTATTTGCAGTTTCAGTAAATTACATGGATGTTATATTTATGAAAAGTAATTCTCGAGCAGCACCTAAATGACCACAGCACCAGTAAAGGCAGATAACCAGCAAATCATCTTAAGGCATTTCATWAATATTATAGCAATAACTCACCTAGACGATATGGATAGGTAGTATTTTAAACTCTTTTATATCGTACTACCCCGCCCTTGAAAATCTCTTCGGTTCCTCAATTTGAAGCCCAGTCAAGAAAGCTTTTATCGTTTCTGATTTTATCACGCATGGCTTTAAGTGTTTCGTTCACAATTTGTCAAGATCTTCACTTGTAAGTTAATAGATTCATCATGGCTCCCCTTCTTAGAGGCTATRAAATATTCTAGGCGCCTTCAAAGTGAAAAGGAAATTTGACGGTWGCCGGTCGAGCCAATATTTCTAAACAATTGGCTGAAACAAAAGTACATAACAACGAAAAGAGAAATCAACCGACACGTGACTAATAACCTGTGAAGCTTTCAATGACTCGCCGAAAGCCGCTCTGACTGAAGGTACCTTACACCAACAGGACAAGTAAAATACATTTCTTTCTAGCCAGACGAACGAATTGCAAATCGAAGAGGATAATTATAAAGCTGTTTAGGTAAAAAACTGAAAGCAAATCGATGGAAAGAGTCGAGTGCTTCCCGAACCCTACGGCGACTCTTGACAAACATTCAATTAATTGAGATTATTTCTTTCCGATATTTTTGATCATTTTTCTTATGAGAATTTACCATGAATACCAAAAACATTAGCAAAAAATTCCATTATAATCCAATAGAATTGACTGGAATTAGTGATTGAAATCCCGGCCCAAATGGGATTTTAAAAATGAYCGCTCAAGTAAAAATTTTGATTTGAATATTGAAACTAATTAGAATCGAAAYGCTTCCCCAAGAACTAGTAGTTTGTGTTCAAGTGTTGAAAGATGTAGAATACACATTCAATAAACATATAAAAATACCTGTACGTCAAGATATTGCCCGGGTATAGCGAGCTTATCAAACGTCGACTAACCCAACTTGATCTYACTATTGGTAGCCACTTCAAGGCGCGCGCCAAGGGGTAACAAAGACACTACTCCAACACGATTTCTTTCATTACAGCTATGATCACACACTGATTCGGTGCATTAACGTTTGAAGTAGATTGCCATAGGCTATAAATAAAAGTTATTTTACAAAGACTGGAATAACTAATGAAAGTTGTAGACAATTATAAACCGGAGATAATTGGTCAAAGGGATCTAAAGAGATAAACCGCGCTCAACCGAATATTTATTCACATTTCTGTCCAAACAGAGCCCTAATGAAATGATGTTATCTAAAGAGAACATGTTTGATGAGTTCTTTGCTTTTCAAGGCAACATTATAACTGTTGACTAAAGACCCTTAAAATGCTCCAGTCCATTTATAAAGTAACTGCAATTTTTTCTCTCATTTCGCACCAAATATATCCAATTAGCAAATGTTTTAATAAGAGAAGTATCATTTAAGAGCGTAGTTCATAAGCTTCAATCAAAGGGGATTTATTTGTTCAAAGAATACCCTAAAGTCATCACAGATAATAAGTAAATGAGAATAGAGAAGTAAATTCTGAAATTTGAAATTCTATATTCTCCAAACGATCTTGATTTATAATTTATTCGTTTAAACTGACCAGTTAACAGAACGGATCGTTAAAATCCCGTAAAATAAATCTTTTAATGTTTCTGACGTTTAATTATATTTTCCATACTTTGCTTAATCTCTAGAGGACTTTCAGTAAACTAGAAAATTTTAAACGAAATTTTATTTCTACGCGTTTACGTTCAGAAAACCATTAAATAAATGCATGGGAAGTGTTTATTTACCTTATAATGTTACTTTTACTTACTGGAAAAATTAGCCTTTGTAGCAGGGTTATTCCAAACAGTAACGACTTCCTTGATGACCGATTGTTCTTGCTCAGTTTAGTGTTTTTGCGGTTTGGACAAAGTAAGCCGCCAAAGCTTTGTTAGTACAAACGTGTAAAAGCTGGTCGAACAAAGAAAGAACTTGGATTATCACACCCGTGTGGCAAAAACCCTGGACTTTTCGGTAAATTAATAATGATTTCAGAATTTCTCTTTTACCACATTGCAAGATAATAAGAAAGTTAACAAAACATAAAATAAAATTAGTAGAGTTTTATTAAAAAAAAGATACCAATGTTATGAACAAAGTGATTTAAAAGAAAACATAATTTTCTGCCAAAAATTATATTGTGTACATATYACCAGAAAGTCTCATTTTGTCATGTTTTAGTCGTTGTTGCTTTTATTCCTTAAAAAAATACAACATCAAAGATGTTCACCAAGTAGACTTAAAGAAACTGTCACTCAAATGCCAAAAATATAAACTGTCTACATWACAGAACTTCAAGAAAGTCTCATTTTGTTRTGTTTTTGTTGTTGTTGCTGTTGTCCCTTAAAAAATACATGAAAAGTGTTCACTAAGTAGTTTAAAGAAACTGCCACTGAATGCCAAAAACAGAAATTGTCTACATACAGAATTTCGAGAAAGTCTCATTTTGTCATTCTTAATTTGTTGTTATTGTTGTTTTCCATTTAAAAAGTTGCTCACCAAGTTTGAATTAAACAAAAAAGATAACTGTCAGCGTGTTCCGAAAATCAACTTGTCTACAGAAATCATGTAAAGTCTCATTTTGGTATGTTTTTTGATTATTTTAATACGATTTGATAAAAGCCTTGTTGACTATCTATTGTACATCACAACAGTAAGTCTAGGCTTTTAATTAGAACCCTTTTAAACCTTTCGACATCCATTTTTTTCTCCATCTTCCTTTTTGCCGTGATAAAATCTCCTTAAAGCTTTGGTAATGGAGCACTGAGTAAGCCAATCTATCCACAAAGTCTACAACTACGAAGTAGCCTTCAGTGATGATAGCTTATGCTTCCTTGATAATTTGTTTTCATTTTTCATTTAAGGCCTATCTTCAGGGCGTTTAGATTACAGCTTAACGTCTAATTTAAAGTTTTGATGGTGAATTTGCAGCT